CCTTTCACTGGTTTCCCATTCTGTTTCCTAGTGTCTGTTTGAAGTTCTTGCAATTTCCTATAAAAACCATGCTTGGTGCCTGTACCTCCTCATATATATATATGTAGTAGTTTCCAACTGAAAAGAAACTTTGTGTTCCCAACAAGCTAGGTGAAGGACGGCTTACAAACACAAAAACCATTCAGAAATGAGCATGTGGATAGACGTTCATTCATCTATCACAAAGGGAATTAGTTACAAGTGAAACAGTTTTTCTGGTTTCCCAATCTGTTTCCTAGTGCCGGTTTGTAGATCCTGCAGTTTTCACTGAAATATTGAGGTGGAGCTAGTACCTCCTCATATATATGTATGTGCTGTGGATTCCTACTGAAAAGAAACTTTGATTTCTCATCAATCTAGGTGAAGGATGGTTTCATACACACTTATGTCTGAGAACTGAGCATGTGGAGAGACGTTCGTTCTTCTGGCACAGAGAGAACGGATTGCAAGAGAAACAATTACTCAGGATTCTAAGTCTGCTTCCTAGTGTTGGTTTGAAGTTCCTGCATTTTTCTCTTTGAAATTGAGCTGGAGCATGTGCCACCCCATGTATATGTATGTAGAGTATTTACAAACTGAAAAGAAACTTTGTGTTCCCAATAAGCTTGGTGTCGGGTGGCATTCACACTCACATATGTCTCAGAAATGATTAAGTGGAGAGACATTCATTCATTTAGCACAAAGGGATCGTGTTGCATGGGAAAAATTTACACTGGTTTCTCAGACTCTTTACTAGTGCTGTTTTGATGTTCTTAAATTTTTCACAGTAAAACCGTGTTGGACCTAGTACATCCACATATATATGTATGTAGTTTAGTTTCCAACTTAAAAGAAACTTTGTGTTGCAAACAAGCTTGGGGAAGGACGACATTTACACACAATTATCACTCAGAACTGAGCATGTGGAGAGACGTTCGTTCATCCAGCACAAAGAGAACAGGTTTCAGGAGAAACACTTACTCTGGATTCTCAGACTGATTCTTAGATTTGGTTGAATTTCCTGCAATTTTCACATAAAAACCGAGATGAAGCTTGTACCTCCCCATATATATGTATGTATTGCACTTTTCAACTGAAAAGAATCTTTGTGTTCCCAAAAAGCTATGTGAAGGAAGGCTTTCATTCACACATAGCTCTCAGAAATGAGCATGTGGAGAGACGTACATTCATCTAGCAAAAAGGGAACTGGTTTCAGGAAGAACAATTATTCTGGTTCCTCAGTATTTTTCCTTGCGTCAGTTTGGAGTCCCTGAATTTTCACTGTAAAAATAAGTTGGAGCTTGTTCCTCCCCATATATATGAACACAGAGCAGTACCCAACTGTAAAGAATCTTTGTGTTCCCAACAAGTTAGGTGAAGGATGGCTTTCACACACAAATATCCCTCACATCTGAAAATGTGGAGAGTCATTTGTTCACCTAGGACAAAGAGAACGGGTTGCAGGAAAAAAAAAATACTCTTGTTTCTGAGTCTGTTTCCTAGTGCTGGTTTGAAGTCCTGCAATTTTGACAGTAAAACTAATTTGGAGCTATTATATCCCCATATATAAGAACGTAGTATAGTTTCCACTGAAAAGAATTTTTGCATTGCCAAGAAGCTAGGTGAAGGACGGCTTTCACAAACAAATTTTCTCTCTGGACAGAGTATGTGGAGAGATGTTCATTCATCTAGCACAAATGGAACGTTTTACAGTAGAAACACTTACTCTGGAGTCTCTGTCTGTTTCCTAGTGCCGTGTTGAATTTCCTTCAATTTTGCCAGTAAAACTAGTTGGAGCTAGTACTTCCCCATATGTATGCATGAATAGCACTTTCCAAATGAAAAGAATCTTTGTGTTCCCAACAAGCTAGGTGAAGTACGGCTTTCACACACAATTATCTCTTAGAACTGAGCATGGTGAGAGACGTTGGATCATCTATCGCAAAGGAAACAGGTTGCAGGACAAACACTTACTGTTATTCTCAGTCTGTTTCCTAGGTCCGGTTTGAAATTCCTGCAATTGTGACTGCAAAAGTGAGTTGGAGCTAGTACATCCCCATATAAATGTACATGGTGTAGTTTCCACTGAAAAGAATCTTTGTGTTCTCAACAATCTAGGTGAAGGAAGGCTTTCACACACACTTATCACTCAGAACAGAGGATGTGGAGTTTCATTCATTCATCAAACACAATGGGAATTGGTTACAGGAGAAAAACTTACTCTGGTTTCTCAGGTTATTTTCTAGTGCTGGTTTGATGTTCCTGCAGTTTTCTCTGTAAGTCCGTATTGTAGCTAGTACCTCCTCATATATATGTATTTAGTGTAGTTTCCTATTTAAAAGAAATTTGTGTTACCAGCAAGCTATTTAAAGTACGGTTTTCATA